CCTCTGCTTACAGAATGGAACAAAAAGAATGATACACCGGCTTCTCTTAGAAATGGTTTGGAGGAGAGTGAAGCTTCTTCAAATTTACAGAGATACAATTTTTAAATTAAGTTGTTTCTTTGATTTCTAGAGTACCTTTCATTCAAAGGTTTGAAACTCAAAAGAGGTTTTTAACTTTCTCCTTTTTCTATTCTGTAGGTTTCTCCATATAAAAGTACCATAATTAGGAGTATGAGCCAGATACATTCCACTTCCTGTTTTATTTTTCTCTGTTGAGAAAAATCATATAATTCCAGATCAATTTCTGGTGGTTCTGAATAATGGTGTTCTGCAGTTTAGTTGTAATTTTGACGTGGTTGTGTGAGGAGGCGAGCCCTGTTTACCTAGGCCGCTATCTCACATATACTTTCAGAAAAGTGAAATAAATAGGGCTGCTTCCAAACTCAATTGTGAAATAAAGTTTGTTCATGGTGAGCCTGTAGCCTTGTGTGGTAGACTCTTTCCCTTTGTGGTTTCTCTTCCCCAACTCTGGGGCCTCCTCAGCCCACTACCAGCTTCCTGTCCACCCCCCCTTCAGCATCCTTGCTCTTTATCCAGCTTCCCCTGTTCTGCTGTTCTATGACCCAGAATCCATCCAGTGGCTCCCATGCTACCTATTGTCACTACAACGGAAACTTTCCTGTGTTATAATCACTCACACCCAAAGCCAACTGTGCTCTCTTAGGAGACAGTTATGCCTGGCACGCTTGTAGCTGATTACTAAATATTTAAATGAATGAATGAGTGAATGAACAAACTGCTCTCTCAATACACCACTTAGCACCCATCCTACCGCCACCTACCCCAGGTGTATGTATATTAATACGGACCCGATTAAAAACAGCATACCTTTCTTTCTACCATGACCAAACTAAGTGAGTTGGGAGAGGAATCCAATGACTGGTTGTTGTTAGAATATTCTATTAACTATGAACTTCTGATGCTTTGACATCTGGGGCCTTATGAGGCTGGAAAGATTGTTCCTCCCAGGGTTAGCCAATTCCTACAGAGAGAGTCAACAACTCACTTGTTTGAGTATCTTTCATATGCAAACCAACCAATCTGGAGCCCACATTCCAACCACCTCCTTTACTGATCTTTCACAAGGCTCACACCTGGGCCATCATCCACACACCCTAATCACACCAGGGCCAGGTTCCAGAAAACTCAGGACTGCTCTTATGCCTCAGAGGCTGCTGAGATTATTCAAGCCAGACAATCTTGCTTACCCTGCCTTGCCTGCTTCTTTCTACAGAAACCACAATAAAGTTCCATATTTTCTCTTTGCTCCTTCTGCCTCCTGACCAACCCTAGAGCTTCCTCATGTGGCCCTGCATGGCGTAACAGGTTCTCTCCTCTTGGGAACTGTGACAAACTATCTTTTTAATGGTAATTGCCCCCCAACCTGTTGGCCTCACCGTACCTGAGTAATAACTATAAAGCCTACATTTTAAAAACAGTTACCTCAAATACTTCTCTAATCTCAAGTGTGAGGACTCTCCTGTTAATTTTTTCAAGATCCTGAAGAAAGCCTCTCCTTTCCATAAGTTTTCAAATAGGAGAAACGACTTTTACTCAGAGAAGGCAGCGTAGTATTAAATTGTGAAAAAGCAATGACAGTCTTTATGTAATATGTATTAGCACCCTGGGGTCTCAGAAAAACCCTAAAAGTTATTGTACTGTTCTGGATGACTAAAGTTCAAAAGTACAAAGTGGTTCTCTCACGATCACAGAGCCACATGCACCTAAGAGGTGAGACTCACGTGCCGCCTTTCTGGGCGCTCCTCTGACTCATGCCTTGTACCCCTCCTTCCTTCTGCCATTGCCTCGCAAGTCTTTCAGTATCGTTTACAAAGCTTCCTTGCATAATATCACCATTTCCTTTGTACTTGGAAGAAAAAATATGGCAGTCTTTCCAATGAGGGCCAAAAAATGATTCCACAGTAAAAAAATAGCTGAGGTACATCTAGATATTTCAACAATAAACAGCCTTGGGGGAAATGAGTGTAGCGTTTTAAGGAGATATTACCAAATGATAGAGGAGATCTATGAATGATAGAAGTTTATAATACTAAGTCTAATCTTTAGTGAATTAGTTAGAACTTTCACAAATTTTCTTTTTGAAGAAGTTGCGTTCTTTGGTCATGAATCCCCAGATCTACAAAGAACAGGATTGGCTGTGAGAAAACTACCTTGCGCTTTTTGAAAAACATGAACTTGGAAGTAGTATGTAAATTCAATACTGTAAAGATAAGAAGTAAGCATATAAAAGACACTATATAAAATTGTTATTGATTAGAGAAATGCAGATCAAAACCACCATGAGGTACCACCTCACACCGGTCAGAATGGCCATCATAAACAGATCCACAAACAACAGGTGCTGGCGAGGCTGTGGAGAAAAGGGAACTCTAGTCCACTGTTGGTGGGAATGCAGACTGGTGCAGCCACTATGGAAAGCAGTGTGGAATTTCCTCAGAAAGCTGAAAATGGAACTGCCTTTTGATCCAGCGATTCCCCTGCTGGGACTATACCCTGAGAACACCAAAACGCCAATACAAAAGAACCTATGCACCCCAATGTTCATAGCAGCACAATTTACAATAGCCAAGTCTTGGAAGCAACCTAAATGCCCATCAGTAGATGATTGGATCAAAAAATTATGGTACATATACACAATGGAATACTACGCAGCAGAAAGAAAAAAGAAGTACTAAACTTCGCAACAGCATGGATGGAACTGGAGAGCATCATGCTAAGCGAAATAAGCCAGGGGGCGAAAGACAAATACCATATGATCTCACCTATAAGCGGAACCTAACCAACAATGCAAAGAAGCAAGGCAAATATGACCAGCAACACTGAAAGGAAAAGAAATCAACAGAGACAAGAGGGAAGGGGGGGGGGCAGGGAAAGGGAAGGGAAGGGGAAAGTCAAGGAACATATAGCAAGGACTCATGGACAAAACCAAAGGGGAAGAGCTGAGGGAGGGAAGGTGGGAGGGGGCAAAGGAAAGAGGGGGGGGAAGGCAGAGACAAATGTATTTAAAAAGTAAATAAATTAATAAAAAAATACAATAAAATAAAATTGTTATTGAATGCCGTCAAGCAGCAAAATCACACTGTTAAGGTGTTAAAACATATGTAGTCAGTGTTGACCATAATTATTGAGAGAACACTTAAAGTAAAATAATTGAAAAATTAACCCAATGTTGCACAAAACACAGCTTGTAGAAATTTATGCATTAGCATTTACCAAATTTGTAAAACAGTTTGGAATTTCACTGTTTAAAGCAAGAGGGAAAGTTGAGAAAGAGGGAAGAGAGAAAAATAATAAAGTGAATCAAATAATTTGGAAATAAAAAATATGTTGGTGAAAGAGTTGGATTGTGACTAAGAAGAAAAGAATATTGGATAAGGGGGCTTGAAAGCAACCAACAAGTTGTCGAAGTTATTGTTTGGAGACGGTGATTGGCAGCTGTTAAGAATTTCCCGGAGTGTGAGTAAGAAGAAACAAGCTTGTATGGCTGGGGGTCCTCAGCTGGATATCAGGGAGAATTTCCTGACTGTAAATGTCAAGAGCTCTGGTTTACAGGATCAAAGGGAGGGTTCTGGGATGTGCCTATCCTTGGAGTATTTTTCAGCCTCAAGCAAGAGACTGTTTGGGCGGTTTTCTGCAGCCCGGTGGACAGACTGGATAGCCTGCTGAGAATCCACCCGTCTCAGGTTGCTGAGAGGCGTGCCCTACACAGCTGCTCTCAGTGTCCTCGCCAGCTGCTGACTCCCAGCTCAGAGGCTAAAGGGAACAATTAAGCCTTTCACACTCTGTTCCTCACTTGGTCCAGTCCTTAGGGTATGCTGTGGTTTTTCAGCTCTTGAGCACTTAGTTACTTTCCTTCTGAGCCAAGGGCCTCCTGGGAACAATGTAGCATTTGTGTGTTGACAGTAATGGCTTATGAGCCAGGGACACATGGCCAAGCCCTCCCTCCCACAAGGGCTGGGTTGCACACCTAACCTGCAACAGTCCATGCTGAGTCAGCACTAGCCTGCCCTACGGCCAAGTGACCCCTTCTCCTCCCTCTTCCCCAACCTGTTACTTAATTCCATTCTGAGCAGTTTAGCCACATTTATACCAATCCTCAAGCAGGATGGTCTCTACTCACCTCCCATCCCACCCACAGAGTGAACAATAACAAATTAGTGGTTCATGGCCTGACACTACACAGTGGGCACCAAAGGGTGAGGTCCCTACTGCTTAGTTAGGCAGCTGGGTATTTACAAAAGGTTTGCAAAGAGATGCCAGTCTTTTCCTATAACATGATTGCCTTTTATTATGCGGTTGTTGTTTTACGTGGGGAGTTGGGAACATTAAACAAACAGAGTTTTTACATGGTCTGTGTCTGCCGAGTTCAGAACCTTGGAAACATCATTTGACTTCTGGTAAAAAGACAATTCCAGAAAGATGATTAAAACCATCCTTTTGATCTTGGCCCCAAATCAGAGGGAGGACATGTACTTATGAGGAAACTAGAGTTTCAACCCTCAGGTAACTCTTACAGAGAAGAAACTATATTACATGTAAGTCAGATACAGTGTCCAAATACACTATTAAACGGCAAATCAGAACAATTTCCCTTGAGGCGTGTCTCTTCTTCATAGTGGTATCATAGAACTTCTCTTAAAGCCTCCATCCAGTGGTATCATGGTGGTACTACAGTGTATGGGCCGACGTAGTATAAATGCATAAAGGAAAACTGGATGGGGAGTGAGAGAATACAGGTAAATTAAAAGAAAACACAAGGAGAGTAACTGAGATCTTAAGGAACAAATTGGAGCTGTGGGTGTGTGTGTATGTGCAGGGCCTGATGATTTTGTTGCTTAGTGTCTCTGAGGTTTGAGTTGCCCCTCTTTTTTCCAGCATAAAGTAAATATTTGGTGGTATGCGGAAGTGTCAGGGGGCATTCAGAGTTCCACCTTTTGAGTCTTTTCCTCTGATTCATCGTTTTCTCTCTGAAAAACATCATGACATGATATTTAGATTTCGAGTCCACTCTTGTTCTTGAGCCCCTAGGTTAGAAAACTGAGCTCTTTATTTACTGCTGGAAGTTCCAAATCTATCTCCAATTTTTATCTCATGAACTCCTTATATGGAATTTGAATTGTTTCCCATTGATATTGTACACAGAACGGTGAAACCCCAAATTCAGTTCCTTTGAATGAGCAGGACCTTTTCAAAACTGCTTTTGTAGTTCTATTCCTATGACTATATCCTAACAGGCATTGAGGCTCCGTCTACCATGTTCTCACATACCTTTGCTCTTAATAAAAGCCAGTGGAGCCAAAGAATTTTTATTCCAAAGGAAATAACAGAGACATAGAGAGGAAGAAAACTCAACTTGCCCTCCCTGAAGTCTCACACTTACCAGCCCTTCCCCCTTTAGGAATCCATCACAGAAGTTTTGCACAAGCTCTACGGAAACTTCTGCCACGGGCAGCGTATCCCACTCCTCATCGAGAGTCCGGTAAATTGCCAAAGCGGGCAGTTCAGATGCTTTTAGTTTGAAAAATGATATTACCTTCCCATTTGCCTTCACACCACTGTCCACCAGAATAAAAAGAATCTGCAGTTGGAGAAGTTTGAAATAGAAAGTTTTATCTGAGGTCCTGGGGAGAACGAGACACCTTGTAATTGCAGCAGTTTGCTCAGATTGAATTTATGGTCTGTGCCACACGACTGACGTCTCAATGGAATCAGAATGAATTTGTGCTTGCTTTGCATTGCTTAGGCATTTTATCACTTTGATCAGGTTGATTTAATTTCAAGAACATGGAATTGGAAGAGACTTTCATGGTTAACTTTAGTGATTAACTAAGTAGAGCCTGATGGTTAAAAGCAGAGAATAAATTTTAAATTTTGCTGCTGGAACTATTTAGTTGTGTGACTCTGAGCACATTACTTAACCTTTCCGTGACTCAGTGCTCTCATGGGCAAAATGGGCTTTCGTTGGGGGAGATTAAATGAGAGGATGCATTTTGTATTTTCAGTAGTTTCTGGCATAGAGTAGGTGCTTGACACATTTTAACTATTCTATCTTATTAAATCAAATCTTCTGCCTAAAGTAGAAATCTTCTTATAATATTGTGGTTAGAGAATTGTCTATATTCAGTAACACTGACAACTTACAATGTTATGGAAACAACCACTGGAAAGTCAGCTTATCTGATCATCTGACAGTTAGCATGGAACGGCTAATGTAGTCCAATGCAGTAAACTTGAAGTTGTTGAAGTTTTACTGTTAAGTGATATCAAGTAGAACTGTACAAGGAAGGGAATGCTTATTATATTTATGTATTTATTTATTTATTGTCCATTAGGAACCAGGTTCTGAACATTCTTTAGACACCAGATATGCAATCGGTATTTGGATATGAGAAATAAGCCCTGAGGTCTAAAACTTTAAGAGATTAGGACAAGGAGAAAAAAATTATAATGAATAGGTAATTTTTATTTTCAGTATCTTTGAGCCTCTGTTTCGTCTACACTTCTTAATGTAGGAAAAAAGCAATAGACTTTACTACTAAGGAAAGACATAATTATACAGGCCTTAAATAGTACAAAATGCAACATCTTTAATTTTAAATCCGAGTAATGTGATTTAGTATGTACCAGTTCTTACTTTTCTCTTAACCATATTAGTTTTCCTTATTTATCTCAATTCCATAGCCCGCATTTTTCTGTTTTTACTGTCTTGGTGCTAAGTTTTCAGAAGGGTATCTCCCAAGCCAGACTCACCTTCCCTTGGAAGAGCTTAGCTGCCTTCTGGTAGCTGTGCATGCTTTCTTCATACTTTGGAGAGGCCTTGTTCATCATCAGGAGAAGATGAATCTGAATCATGCTATTAAATAGGCCAATCACAGTCTGGCAAATGGAAATGGATTATAATAGAATGAAAGAGAGAGGAAGGGGAAAAAAACCCATTAGTGGTAATCCAGTGACTAGATAATGCAACATAAATGAGAATTGTTCATCCACAACACAAGTGGTAACTAGCCTTTTAGATACTTTTCAATAAGGCTCACCCTCTGGTTTTCATGCAACTGTATTGATCTCTTTTCCCCACACTGAATAGGACTGAATGGAGTAACCAATGGGATGTGGCAGAAATGATGGAGTGTGATTTCCAAGCTGCAGTCATAAAAGGCATTGTGGTTTCTGCCTTGCTCACTCTTATATCACTCACTCTGGGGAAAACCAGCCCCAATGTTGGAGAAATTCACATGGCAAGGGACTAATGTCTCCTATGAACAGCCAGCACTGACTCGCCAGTCCAGTGATTGAGCCATCCTGGAAGCAGTTCCTTCAGCCCCATTCGCACCCTCAGATGACATTGCCTCCCTGACCAATGACTGTAACCTCATAAGATCAGGAGCACCTAGCTTAGCCACTCCCAAATTGTTGATGCACAGAAACTGTGTGTAATCAATTTTTACTGTTTTAAGCTGCTAAATTTTGGGATAATCTGTTATGTATCAACAGACAACAAGTAGGAGCGGGGAGCCCCTCAAAAAACCCCTAGAAGTTACTTGCAAAAAACTGTGTATTTATTCTTACAGGTTTAAACTTCAGTCACCTTTAAAGTACTCTCCATTCGATGCAATACACATATTGAGATGTGTAAATTGCTCTGTAGAGAATCTCTAGCTCTCTCGGCCATGTAGGCAAGGGGAGGCCCAATGGGTTCTTTCCTCAAAATTTCTTCCTATAGTTTAACACCAGTTCTTAGATTTTAAATTCAGGAGGCTGGATGTTAAATAATTATCTCTTGTTTGATTAGATTCTGTTACTTGAATTTAAAGTATACACCTACCCTCTTAGAGTAGACCTGAGAGTAATTCTTGGGAAGAGTCAAGAAACCAAAGCTAAGAAGTTAAGTTACCATTGTTTTAGCAGAGGGGATTAGACATATCAGAAGTGATTAATTTAATCCTAATAGACACAGCCTGATTCTTTGCCTTGAAGCCAAAAATTGAGTGTGTACATTAGAAGTGCATGGCAGGCCAAATACATGCCTGTGAGTTTCTGCCCCATTGCTACTGGTGCAAACCTCTGCACCAGGAGCAGCCAAGAAATAGCTTAGTGTGGGTAGGTCTCTAAAAGAGAAAAGTACTACCTTGAGGAAATGAAGAAGTCACAGTAAAAGTTGAACTTGTTTCTCTAAAGAAATTCTTATTTAGTTTCTTCTTGAGGTGGTTTACCTTCACTACTAAAGTAAAACTTAAAAAAAAGAAGTGTCATTGTCCTCTAAGAGAGAGATGGACCTGACCTAAGAACTCAGGCCAGTTCTTGCCCCTGCCTTTGGCTGCAGAACTCCAGGGCCCTGAGACCATAAACCCAGGCACCACAAAGTCAGTTGTTCTGGTTCTATGTGCCCTCCTGGAAGCTCTATAGACACAACAATGAGAATGACGATGGTCTAGGAGAAAAACACCTTTTCAGTTATTGCTGCCAACACCCCTACGATGCATGTGTTTGAGATCCTAGCAAAAGCGGAAATGGAGTCACCACTTCATGGAGACAAACATGGCGAGAGGTCGACAGGAATTTAGTCAACAGGAAAAGGGGCGCTTTCTATTGAAGGCTAGTAGGGTAATGGAAAAACCACAGGACTCAGTCAGATAGACGAGTCATGAGAAAAAGAAGAGACAACTGCAGAGAGGGCTGTCTCTGAAGCTCAAATTCCCTGTCATATGACTTTGAGGAAATTACTTTACTTTTCTGCATTCCCACTTCCTATTCTTTCAAATGGAAACAGACAGCTTGGATTAATGCATTGTGACTTAAAATGCTGCCTTTAATTATTGCCTTTTCTACTTACTGTGTGATCTTGAGTAAGTCAGTTGGATCTTGAATGTTCTCTATGAAATGGGCATAATAATTTCCTCACTTCTATCTCAAAAAAAAAAATCAATGTGAGGATTAAATGAGAATATGGTGGGAAATGGAGTAGTAATTTCTAAAAATCATGATATGCATGTAAATAAAATACTGTTTTTAGAGAATGCACAGCAATTCTGAGCTGATATAGATCACTAGAAATCAATACTCCATCACTCTATGAGCTCTGTCAGGAAAAATCAAAGGTGGCTATATAAGGTAATTCTATAAGCTGTAGGGTATTAGAAGGCCAGGAGATTATCAGGACAAGATGACCAACCCCTTTACCCAGGCTGCATACAGCATGCAACACTAAAGGAAGACAAACCTGGAAAGAAAGCTGACTCACCATGAGGGTCTAGGTGTATACAGGTGGAGCCAGACCTGGAATTGCTAGTTATGAGACACTGGGAAAATATGCCTAAAAACTTTCATAGAAATTTTACATAACTGCAACATCCAAGTATGTGATCAGTAGGCTTTATATTTTTAAGATTTTTTTAATCTATTGATGTATTTTAATGCATTTTAAAAAAGCATTGGTTCCTGATGCTGTAGGGAGAAAAATGAACCTCAGCATAGACTGCACCCTTGTTTTGAGAAGCGTGGCCTAGAGTGCTGCTAAGGTCAGGGTTGTCTTCTTGGATCACTGTCAGGCAGCACAACCCAGCAGTTTTCAAATCGGTCACCTTGACTTTGCATTATGGCTCTCTTTCTTATTAGTCATGTGATAGGTCATTTAACTTTTCTGATTCTGTTTCTTTGTTGAATAGGGACAAGTCGATCAACCTTAAAGGCTGCAGCAAGAATGACTAGATAAACAACCAGGGTGTTCGATTAATTGCAGTTACTGTTATTATTGGTCAAAGGATCAGAACTTCTGGAGGAGAAGATCTCTGTTGTGAAGACAAGTGTCCTCCCTGACATGGGACCTTAGGGGCTGGAGACAGGGTCTATTGTTTACCACAGGATTGTACTCTGTCACCAAGCGGAGACTGTTGATCTCAATGAAACGGCTTAATTTGGTGGCATCAATGTCTTCAATGGCTTCACTCTCCAAAACCAGTCGTTCGTTATCCACCTGAGTAACACAAAAATAATGCAATTGTCACTGTTCTGTCTTTATTCATTCATTGGCAAATATTTCTGGACTATCTACCATGCGTCGGGCACCAATTAGAACTCCATATACAGAATAGGAAATGTTCCCTGCCCTTGAAGAACACACTGTCCTGTGAGACACAGAGAAGTGAACAGACATGACCCACAGAACGTGGCAAGTGTCATCACAGGCCCATATGTTATCCAAGGAAGAGCAGAAATGCTTTCAGAAAGAGGTAGCTCTCTTTGAAGGCTAAAAATACATCTATCAATTTTATATGTAGATTATCTCGTCATTCAGTTCAAAGTGTTTTTAAATTTCTGTTCTTGTTTCTTCTCTAAACTTTTCTTGTTATTAATTTCTAGCTTAATTTTTACATTTTGTATGTTTTGTCAACTTCTATATATGTTATTTGTGTCCTTAAAACTGTATATAGTTATACATAGCTTCGAATGAAATATTCTGTATATGCACGTGTGGTCACATGGTTAACTTTATTATCTTCTTATTGATTTTTTTAACCAGCTTATTTTATCAAGAGAGGAGTGTTAAAATATTCCAGTATGATTGTAGATTCAACCATTTTTCTTATAGTTATGCCAGTTATTGTCTCTATATTCTCAGCGATGTATTAGATACATGTAAATTTAGAATTCTTAAATCTTCTGGACAAAGTGAAACTTTACCATTAGGAAGTGTCATTCTTTATCTCTAAGGACACTTGTTGCCTCTAGACTATTTTGTCTAATATTAATACACTTATTCCAGCTTTCTTTTGGAAGTATCTCTATCTTCTTATATTTATATTTACTTGTGTCCCTGTGTTATGTTTTAAAATAATGTGTCCTTTATGAAAAGCACATTGTTATATTTTTAAATCCAGTCTGGTAATCTGTTTTTCAATCTGTTATTTTGGTAATGTACTTACTAACATTTAATTAAATATGCATTTTCCATTGGCTCTGCCTGTTTCAAAGTCCTTTAAAAATTTTTTTTTCTAGCTTAGTTTGAATTGATTGAATATTTTGTATTATTTTTCTTTTCCTTTATGGGCTTAGAAGTTACACAGGCTTTAATTATTTTCTTAAGGATTATACAACATGCATTCTTTACTTATCAGAATCTAATATGAATTGGCAATTTTATCTTCTTCTTGGGCAATACAGACATTAGAAAATCCTAACACAATTTACATCCTTGCAAGACTACTCCCTGGTCCACACTTAAGGCTTACAGGCAATTACTGTTGTGCGTTTTAATTGCAAATCTCACAAGACATTATTACCATTGTTATATAGTCAATATACATGAACATTTATGCACATATATATTTTTTTTGGTTTTCATTTCTTTCTGCATTTTTGAGTTTCTATCTGGAATTTTTTTTCCCTCTGCCTAGAACAACCTTTGGTAGTTCCTTTAGAATGAATTAATTCCATTGGGTGATATTCTCTCAGTTTCATGGTTTCAGATATCTTTATTTCACCTTTATTTTTGAAGGCTATTTTTTGGGGGGGTAGAATTCTAAATTGACAGTTATTGTCTCTTAGTTTTGCAAGATATAATTCTTTAAATTCTGCATTCTACTCTTTCTATTGAAAAGTCATCTGTGAATCTTAGTATTACCCCTTTGAGATTACTTTGAGGGTAATTTCTTCTCTCTGATTTAAGACTTCTCTCTTTTTATTTGAAGGTCAGCTATTATATATGATATGGTTAAGAGTAGATTATATATAATTATGTATGTCTACAAGTGTGTGTGTGTATATTTTTATATTCATATATGATAATCCTAATCTAATTTCAGGAATTGAGATGATCTGAATCTGTACTGCAGCCCTTGGTTTATCCTTTGCAAAGGGTATTTTACAAGAGTTACCTCCTGCTTCCTCTTCTAAAATCTGGACTTCAATATTTACTTTTCTGGCTCTTTGAGGTTCTCAAAAATGTTAATAAAGCTCTCGGCCTCTTGGTTGCCTCTCCTAGAACTCACGGAACCCTCCCAGATGAAAAGCGCCTCTAGTACCGAATTTACTCTTTGGGTTTCCATCTTCTAGTTCTTAGTCTAGCTATTTGCTCTCTTTGATGATTCTTTAAAGCTCTCATTTTTGGCCTAACTTTTTAAGAAATCACCTTTGGTGGAAAGGATTGTCTAGTTAACTGATCTATTACCCAAGGTTTATATTTTAGAACTACCTTTCTGCCATACTCAGATATATTAAAAGATAGGGCTTCATATGGCCATTGTTCTCAGCTTTTCTCATTTGTCTTCCCCAGTCTCCTTGTGCCTAAAAAACACAAGGTAATGCTTCCATCACCCATAGCAACTATGTTTACAAATAAAAATGATCAGGGCTAGGTCCTGAACAAGTCTGTTCCCTAAAATATCATTATTATCATTTGGATCACTTTTGAGATTCTTGGGCCAGCGACCTTTCTTTCACATTTCTTTAACTTCTTCCCCTCACATCTATTATCTTATATCACTTCTACCCATTCAGATCTTGTCATGGATCAGAACCATCCCAAGTCTACCCAGAGAAGTCAAAGGTAAGTATCATTTTAGTTTATGAATGAACGAATTAGGGCAAAGGTAACTTAAAGTCACTGAAGAGTAAGAATCCAATCCGAGATTACTCTTCATTGCCACCACTACAATGACTCCATTGTTTAAGATGTTCAAGGTGGTCTCCCACTGCGCTAGCTAAAAGCCATGTGGACCTCCAAGAAGCTCAGTGTACTCTTTATGGTTAATTTTATTAATTCTTGGTTTGTCTAGCCATTCTTTTATAATCCATTCATTTGTTTATGAATTATTTGTTGAGTGCCTTCTATATGTGAGGTTCTGAATTACAGATATGCTGATATTCACTCAAATAAAAATTTTATCACTTGTTTTATTGATAAGGGCAAGATGACTTAAGAGGAGCAGCCTAGCCAGAGACCCCTCCCAGGTTAACTCTTAATCATTGCTTATCTGTTCCTGTAGCCCGTTTTCACATCCCTTCCCCCACCTGGGTAGCACATCAATCTCATCAATCTCCCACCTGAATGCTAATCCCTTCCCCCACCTGGGAAGCCCATCCATTTCCTGCCGGAATGCTAGGGCTTATAAACCCCTATCTAACCCCGATTCGGGGCTCAGAATTTGGAGACTGCCTCCTCTGAGCCCGCGCGTGTGAATAAAGGCTTACTCCGTTCCCTGAATCGTGTCTTGAGTCTGGCTTTCCGTAACATTTGGTTCCCTGACCGGGAAACGACTCACACGAGCAGGCCGTTTGCCTCCGGTGAAGACGGCTGGGGTCGGCCGGGTGAGCCCGGACTCCAGAGGGAAGCACGTGCCCCGGTGATTTCGGGTCCCGAGGGGCTGGGCTCCCCTTGGCCCCGACCTCGGGCCGTTCCATAACCCGGGCACTCGGGGAGCGGACCCAAGCCTACCTGAAGGCGCCAGACTGGTAAGTGCCCCAGGGACCAGACCCGAATCAGACCCACCTATAAGTGGTGGAAGGGGAGGCTGATCACCTCTCAGGCCTACCGGCCTCTGGCACGGTTTCCCTGTCGGGAGGGAAAGTGTTAACCTCTGTGTGATTGAGTGAGTGACTGACTGTGTGGCTCCACAGGCCAGCGGTGTTCCCCGAGCCTACGGAGTCTGAGTGAGCCCTAACCTGCGGGTCCTCGGTCTGTCATACGGCATAACGGCTGGGAAGCTAACCCGGACTCTACTCGGGCAGCCTTAGCTAAGACAGACCCAAGTCCCTCGCGAGAGGAGAGGCCAGGTGGGCGAAAGTGAAAGTATCCCTGCTGCCCCCGTTTGTCTGCGCCGTTTCGGGAGGGATCATGGGGGGCAGACAGTCTACCGTCTTAGATTGCATGTTAAGGAATTTCGACCGGTTCCGGGGGCCAGCAGCCCGATATGGATCCGGGGCAATTAGAAATTTTCTGTTCCGCTGAGTGGCCCAGGTTCGGGGTAGGCTGGCCTCCTGAGGGAACCCTTGACCTAGACATAATTAGGGCTGTCCATCTCATAGTCACAGGAAGCCCAGGACACCCGAACCAACTCCTCTACATAGAAAAGTGGCAGAAGCTAGCGCAAGAGATGCCCGACTGGCTCCGGAAGGGTGCGGGGGTCAAACCTCGTCACCTAGGCGCTACGGGAGGGCGAGCCAGGGGAGCCCGGAACTGTTGCTCCCGATCAAAGGAAAGGGATGTAACCCGCATCCTAGTTGCCAAACCAGTGGAGAGACCCCCCTATCTATCAGGGCCCACCAGAGGAAGACCCCCCGGTGCAGACTCCCCCTTACCCAGCTAGGAACTTGGGAGGTCAGGCGGAGGCGCGTGAAACACCACCCCCTTCAGTCTCGCCCCCGCAGCCCGAGGCAACAGCGCCCCCAGAATCTCCTATCGCCTCCCGCTTAAGACACCACCAGTCCCTCCAGATGCCACTGCGGGAGACCCAGGGCCCGCCACGAACGGGGCCTGATGGGACCTTATACCCGGGACCGGTCGTGTTTTACTATCAGCCCTTTACCACGACTGACCTCTTGAACTGGAAACACCACACACCCTCGTATTCGGAGAAGCCCCAGGCACTCATAGACCTAATGGAGTCCATTATGCAAACTCACCGGCCAATGTGGCACGATTGCCGCCAATTGCTCCTAACCCTTTTTAATACGGAAGAGAGGCGCAGAGTCTTCCAGGAGGCCCAGAGATATCTAGAAGCCAACGCTCCAGTGGGCACAATAGACCCAGCTCAGTACGCTCGGGTGGCAGCCCCAGAGACCCAACCTGACTGGGATCACAACACCGAACAGGGAAGAGCAGCCCTGGACCGGTACAGGGAAGCCATCCTCCAGGGGGTCAGAGCTGGGGCCAGAAAACCGACCAATATGTCAAAGGTGGCCAGTGTTGTCCAACGGCCAGATGAATGTCCCGGGGACTTCTTAGAAAGGCTCCTAGAGGCCTACCGGATATACACTCCCTTCAACCCAGAAAGCCCAGATACACAGCTAATGGTAAACACTGCTTTTGTCTCCCAATCGGCCCCTGACATCCGCAAAAAGCTCCAGAAGCTAGAGGGCTTTGCAGGCATGAACATCAGTCAGCTGGTTGAGGTAGCAAATAAAGTCTACAATAACCGGGAGGAGGCCGCTGAGAAGGCAGCCCAGAAAAGATTAGAGAAAAAGGCCGCACTGCTAGCAGCCGCCTCAGTCAGCCGGCAGCAAAAGGCAAAGGGGGACCGAAAGACCAGAAAGGGCACGCCAAGGTAGAGAGAGACCAATGTGCCTATTGTAAGGAAAGAGGACATTGGAAAAGAGAATGCCCGCACCGGAAAAAGAAGGCTGGTCTGGCACCCTCTGAGCCGGCACCGACCATCCTTAGTCTGGCGGGCCTAGACTCAGAATGAGGAAGACCGGGCTCCCTGAATCTAGGCCCCCATGAGCCCATGGTCGAAGCGATTGTTGGGGGCCAGACTCTCTCTTTCTTGGTAGATACCGGGGCAGAGCACTCGGTCGTCACCACCCCTGTAGCTCCCCCATCCGGACGAGAAGTCACCATCGTAGGGGCCACTGGTCAGCCAAGTAGCCCAAAACGCTTCTGCCAGGCCCGAATTGTTGATCTGGGAGGCCACCGGATTAGACATGAGTTCTTATACCTACCTGAATGCCCTGTCCCACTGTTAGGGCGAGACCTCTTATCGAAGCTGGGAGCTCGAATCACCTTCCAGCAGTCAGGGGAGGCCTCGCTGCAAGTGGACGGCCCTAGGCTCATGGCCCTCATTTTGCCACGAGAGGAAGAATACCAGTTGTATTCTGGGGAATCTGGTGACCATGGCCCCAGACCTGAGGCTAGAGACAACCTGCTGCAGGAATTCCCCAGGGTCTGGGCCGAGGACAATCCCCCTGGACTAGCCAGAAACCAGGTCCCAGTAATAATTGAACTCAAACCGGGGGCTAAACCGTGCCGCCAGCAACAGTACCCTATCTCAAGGGAGGCCCGCCTAGGAATATCGGAGGTCATCCGAAAGCACCTCCAAGAGGGTATATTGGTCCCCTGTCAATCAACGTGGAATACCCCGCTCCTGCCAATCAAGAAACCTGACGGAACGGGGTACCGTCCAGTGCAGGACCTCCGGGTGGTAAACGAAGCCGTCGTCACACTGCACCCGGTAGTCCCGAACCCATACACCCTACTGAGCCGACTCCCGCCAACCGCCGCCTGGTACACATGCCTAGACTTAAAGGACGCCTTCTTCTGCATCCCGGTAGCTCCAGCCAGCCAACCTATCTTTGCCTTTGAATGGGAAGACCCGCATACGGCAGTAAAGACACAGTTGACATGGACCCGGTTGCCACAGGGATTTAAGAACTCCCCCACGTTATTCGGCGAAGCGCTAGCCCGGGACCTGCAATCTTTCTCAGACGAGGGAAAGGATTTAACTCTACTCCAATATGTTGATGACCTCCTCTTAGCTGCCCCCGACCAGAGCCGATGCCTAGAGGGGACAAGAGCTCTCCTAAAACTGCTAACCCAACAAGGGTACCGAGTCTCACGGAAAAAGGCACAAATCTGCCAACAAGAAGTCAAATATTTAGGGTTCCTAATTTCCCAAGGCAAAAGATCCCTAAATACAGACCGGAAAATGGTCATTACCTGTTTCCCAGCCCGACTGTTTTTCCAACTCAAATTTATCAAATAAATGCTGAGGTACAGGAAGTGTTTGTATTTCAAAAATATTTTTTAAAAATTTTGAAAAAATTCATCAAAACCATAGGATATTTTAAACTGTGAACTCCCTTTGTATGCTTAATTGTTTTAAAATTCCAAAAGTTCGGAGTAGAAAGCTTGAGGTACAAATGCAAGAGAATGAGCCTTCTTAGGTGGAGCCCTTGCTCACCGTACTACCATTCCTCTCCCCAAGCCAATAAGAGTGAGAAGAGGAATAAAATGAGCACACAGATCTTTGCCGCTTAAGGCTTAGATCGCCAGCTGGCATATCTCTTTCATACTTATGTGTTTGCTAATTGCTACCATCAAAATCACTATTATTATAATCACAATCAGGGCCTTTTTAATACTTAATATGTCTAAACACTTCCTGATTACTTTTCTAGAAGTTCGCAGGTCTGGTGCTTGCATCGCAGCTGGCAGAGCTGTGCTCTGGGCAGGAGCCCCTCCCCCCAGCTCTATTTTCCAGGCAGTCTCTTACTTTTCCCAGAACAGGGAAAACAGGAAACACCAGTTACCCTAGTTGTTTCTGGACCTAAGGAGTGCAGTACACTGGAGGCAGAAGAAGTTGATAACATTCTCTAAGAAGTAAAGAGCTTTAGTAAAAACTACCCTCCTGAAGTCTAACCAGCTTGTAGTGTTTCATTTAAGGAAACATGCCTGGTTAATTTATTATTTCTTAAATGAATACACTTTGGAGAATTCAGGTGTAGGATTTCAGAAAACAGCATTTGCACAGGAAATCTTCCTTCTGTAATGGAAAGCATTTGCATAATGCATGGGAATGAAAATATGACCCTAGAGCTAAGATTTGGGGGAAAAAAATTTATGTATTTTTCTAGTTTTTGGAAAGAATTTGACTGGGAATATCATATTATTTTTCTCTCCAAGTAAAGAGGCACCAGAAGAAAAGCAGAAACAGTAAACCAGATGATTTCCACCTTAAATTATAATTTTGAGGTTTTCCAAGACTATTTGAAATGAATTATTTTATGTTTTAGACACTACTTATACCAACAGATCGAATCATTCTTTTGCTGTTAACTTGTATTTCAGCGATATTCCTTTCAATTCCTATGTGTTTCTCCAGTTAACAACCCAGTTTTTCATGAAAGATATTAGAGTCATCCTAGTTTACATCACAGTTATAGTATTAAATACCTTGCGTAGCACAAGGAAGTCATTTGTTAAACAAATGCCCTCATGTTGCTGGTTTTTTAATTTTTGTTTTATAAGCTGCTCAGCTTATATTACATTGGGTAAATATATACTTTAGAAAAAAATTTAATAATTTGACATATCTTATTCTTTTATTAATTATACTTTATTTTTATATACTAGCCCCTTCTGATTATTTGGCAAGGTGCATTTCTTATAATAAGTACCTGAAAATAACTGTAAAGGGAACACTCTCTTTCCATTGCTATCCCAATGGGTCAAAGTTAGGCTTATATGTTTCTTAAAATAGAAGTGATTGAGAACACTGAAAGCAGGTTAAGTGTTCAAGTAATATCTGAAGTCCCGTTTAGGACAGGCTCACACTTACTCAGCCTAAGCCCATGTCTCTGTTAGAGCAACAGTATGAGTTCTGCTCAGGAGTGTGGAGGGTCCCCCTGCTGTCATACACACAAAAGACAAGCTGCCATCCAAAACAGGCTGCCATACACAACTTACTATTGCTCCATGTCCCATAAATTTTCCTGCCGTTATTTATCTGATCAGCTTACCGTATTCCTGTAAAGTGATGCATTCCATGAATATAGCTTTTGCAGGTCTCTTATACTTATGCTGCAGACTTTCAAACATCCCGTCATGCTAACCCTTACAGTCTTATTACATTTTCATGAGTCACCATTTTAGTTTAGCTCTAGATATGTTCTTAAAGTTGAAAATTCTACATGTCTAAATTCTGAAACATTATTGACAAAATTTGTAATGTCGAGATTAAATCTTGAGAAATAATCTTAGGGTTGGATAAGCAGAGACAGTGGGATAGGGAAATAGTTTAGGAGAAAGTAGTTTTAAAAAGTAAGCTTTAGAATGAGGGGCATGAGAGTAGATAGAATCTAGGAATAAGAACAAAGGTTTTCTTCAGGAAGAAGTGCTTTAGAAAGTCACTGTAGTGTCATAGAAAAGATATGCTTTGGAGTCAACTATACAGAGTAAGAGTCAGGTGTCAGCGGTGTCATAGTTGTGAGACACTTTGGTCAACTGAATCAACCTCATGGAACTTTAGTTTCCTTACTCGTAAGGCAGGGATAACAACCATTATTTCATCAAATTCTTGTGAGACTTAAATGGTAGAACAATGAAAACATCCAGCATAGTGCCTATTATTAATTAGGTACTGAAACAACAAACCAAATCTACGATGAATGTTAAGTACCAGAAAGTTGCAACAAATTCATGTTTCTCAATGTAAAGAATAGTTTTGATTGATACTTTTTTTTTTTTTTTTTTTTAGAAAAAGAGATATCCCAAACTTTGAAATAAAATTCTACTAAAATATGGGCTCAACTTTGAAAGTGTAAACTGGGGAAAAAAGTTTTTATCTAAAAGCTGGCATGGCATGAGTTGAATTTCTCCCAGACCTGCTAATGGAGTAGGGCAAGAACCAGGGTGTTTGTTTTGGGTATGGCACAAAATAATCCTGTCCACAGAGGTCCCAAAAGTTCATTCAGAGCAGATCTGTCACTAGTGGTGAACAAAAAACAGATGCTAAAGAAGAGCAAACAGCTCTGGGAAGTCATCACCAGGACTTTATAAAAAAAAAATTGTAAGTAAAGTTAATGCACCCATTAGAGGTTGAAAGCTCTGTAGAGATATTGGAAGCCACAGTACTTGTTTTTCTTCCCCAGAAAAGCCTAGGTAGCACTAAGACATTAAAATCAGGCCTTCACATGATCTATAGACAACAAACCGGAAAAGAAATACCTACCAGGATGTAGCTGAATAGAAATTTCATATTGAAGTGTTACTACCAATGGCTCAACAGTAACATGGAAGGCATTAACCTGACCTTCCACGTCTTTCTTATCAAAGCTTTTCACAGAAGAGCTTGACTTAATCCTCTTTCACCATAGTGAAAACCCAAACCTACAACTGCTGTCCAGGTGGGGAAAGGGCTGCTGAAGATACGAGTGCACCTGCAGACATACCTTTGGAGGTGAGCTAGTTTCTCAAATACTTTCTGAGTGTCTTCTGGGTACTAGAGGCATGCTGTAGACCTTCAGAGCACAACAAATGAATGCCATGGTTTCTGTCCTTGAATAGTGAGGAATAGTAAGGTGGGACAGACACAGCAATACACGATGAAGTGGCTAATGAAGATAAAGATGTGCAAATCTGGAGGAATAGTGAGGTCAATTTGGAGATTCTGAGGAGGCTTTGGGAAGGATAAGATGCCTAACTGACTCACTGGAATGTGAGGAGGACTGTGCTGGGTAAGGCTAAATGAAAGGGGGACTTGAGGACAGTGGCATTCTAGGCAGAGGAATGGCCTGTGGGAGACAGTGGGATTGTGTCATCATACTGTGTGACTGGGTATTGAGAGGATAAATCCCAGGGTAGGAACATGCTGAAAAAGGGAATAGAGAAGCAGATAGTGGCCAGGTCATAAAAGGCTATATGGTCAAACATCTTGATTTTGATCTTGTAAGAACTGGGAAATATTAAAATGTTTTTAAGAAGGGAGTGCCATAGTCAAATTTCTAATCTAAATTCATCATTCTGATACTAGTCTAGAAATTCCATGTGAAGTAGTAAAGGGAGCTCAATTAAGAAGTTATGGAATTGTCTATGCCAATGATGTTAAAAGTGTAATAGAAGAAGGAAGTAGAAAGAGGGAAAAGGAATACAGGGTCAGTAACATAGGAGGCACAATTAGAAAAAACAGTAGAGATTGGAGGAACATAGCCATTCAATAAAAAAGTGTTTTAGAGGGAAGAACATGATTGAGCATGCTGGTGATAAATTCAGTTTTGAATGTGTTAAGACAATAGTGCTTATGAGGATACTCAACCAGCAAGCATTTGAATTATGATAGAGGTCCAGGCTAGAGATAAAACATTCCAAATCCTCAGCAAGCACTTAACAGTCAAACATTAAAAAGAATTATATTACCCGAGGATTACACATTCACTCATTAATTGATTCATTCACCTACCTATTTATTTAATGAACACTTAATGAGCACCTGATACAGAGCAAGCACTTTTTTAGACACTGTAGTTGAAGTAGTGAATGAAACAGCTTCTGCCTTCACGAAGCCTGGATTCTATAACCAGATTGGGAAGAGCATTGGGTCAGGCAGTAGTGCAGATGGAGGAAAAGAGGGTCTCAAGGAGACTAAGGAGAGAGGAAGAACAGGAGAAGTAGGCTCCTAGAAGTCAAAGAAGAGACTAAAGAGAAAAAGAGTGGTCAAAATGTCAAATGCAGCAGAAATGTTCAGTGCAATGAGACCTAAAAAGCGTACATTGGATTTGGAAGTACGGAAACGTGCTGACCTGGATGAAGGCAGTTTTAAAGGGGCCTGCGGGGTGTAAACTAGACAGCAGTGTATTTAAGAGCTTAAAGAAAGTTGGAGATACTGAATATGAAATATGTGTTAAAGAGGTTTGGGTAATAAGTGAAACAGATAGATAGGATGAAGGCTAGAAGGGGAAGGACATTCAAACCAGAAATCTTGAAACTTAATCTTTGGCTCAGTTTCTTGTTTCTAGGGGACACTGGTCACCATTACATAGATACTCTGCCAATAATACAGACTCAACTCCTAACCACAGCATCCTTATTTCTGTATGTGCCCTCACTATTCCTAGACACCCTAACTTTAAGCTTTGCCTCCTTTCTGTCATTTTGATATCTAATCCTTGCAAGACCTGCCTTTTCTTTGCTTTCTATTGTGACCTCTCTGCTGTAACCCTTAGTACATGATCTGTTTTGCCAGCCTGATAAAAATTCTCTCCACTCTTTTCCTTTTGCCTGGCCATCCATCTTACCCAACTGCCAATACAGTGTTGCAAAAACTCCTTTCTGTTCGTGTCACTCCCCAATCTAAGAGATTTAGGGCCTTTCTTGTGCCAACCAAATTAAGTGAAAACCTATAAAGTTGTTGTTCAGATTTCTCTACAATATGATTCCAATCAAGCTTCTCTGTCTTAGAGTCATTTCCCCAAAACGTGTACCATGAGATCCAGTCAAATTGGCTCGATCACTGTTCCCTAAATTACATTTTTTTCCTATTTTGGCCACAAATTCTCTCCTACCTTGTCCACAAT